CCTGTAAGCCTACCCTCCCTGAACATCACGCTTCATTGCTCTTCCTTCCCTATTTCCCCCTCCCCCCCTTCCTCTCCATTCCTAAAAGAACTTGACTTTACTGTCTGATAAGAATGTAAATGCCTTTTTTTTTCTTTTGGTTTTAGGGCTTGGACTCTGGGCCTGGGGGCTGTCCCTGAGCTCTTCTGCTCTAGGCGAGTGCTCTTACCACTTGAGCCACAGCTCACTTCTGGTTTTCTGGTGGTTAATGGGAGATAAAGAGTCCCACAGACTTTCCTGTCTGGGCTGGCTTTGATCTGTGATCATCAGATCTCAGCCTCCTGAGTAACTAAGATTACTGGTGTGAGCTACCAGTGCCTGACTTGTAAATGCCATTTTTAAAAATCTAGGAATTTTGTTTTGTTTACTGCTTTATTCATCCCCAGAACCTTGTGTGTAATAGGCAACAAGTTTTCTGAAGATATAATGAAGGTTAGAAATTGTACCAAATGTCTGGAAGAATATAAATACAAATCAGAAAGGAAGGCAGCCTTTGTGAACACAGATAACAGTACCTTAAGTTCAAGCGTCTACTGGCACCAAAAGATGGGGCAGGCAGAAGGTGTGGCTTAAGTGATAGAGCTGTATTGCAAGTGAGAGGCCCTGAGTTCAAACCTAAGTGTCACCACTGACTTAAAACAGACAAACAAAAAAAACCCAAAACCATAATTCAAATGTAGGGTTGAAAATGTTGTCAGCAAACTTTTTTTTTTAATTATTTTTTGGCACATCCTGGGGCTTAAACTCAGGGCCTACACACTGTCCCTGAGCTTCATTTTGCTTAAGACTAGCACTCGACCACTTGAGCCACAGTGCTACTTCCAGCTTTTTCTTTTGTTTTTTTTTTTTGGTCGGTCGTGGGGCTTGAACTCTGGGCCAGGGCGCTGTCCCTCAGCTCTTCAGTTCAAGGCGAGTGCTCTACCACTTGAGCTACAGCGCCACTTCCGGTTTTCTAGTGGTTTTATTGGAGATAGGAGTCTCAAGGTCTCTCCTGCCCGGGCTGGCTTTGAACCGCGATCCTCAGATCTCAGCCTCCTGAGTAGTTAGGATTACAGGCATGAGCCACCAGCGCCCGGCTACTTCCAGCTTTTTCTGTGTATGTGGTACTGAGGAATCAAACCCAGGACTTCATGCATGCTAGGCAAGCACTCTACCACTAAGCCACATTCCTACCACTCTTGGCAGTAAACTTGACAAATGAGTTAGATAAGCAGAACAAGGGAAATGGAAGCCAAGATGACTCTTAGGCTTTTGAATTTGTGGCAAGTAGGGCATGCTGTAATTCAATATAAGAGCATGGAGGAAGAACAGATTTGAGAAAGAATATTTAATTGTGAGCATATTTTGAGGTGGGGAAGTATGGCAGGTCGTTAGAAAGCTACCAGGGCACAGATTTGAGAATTATTTGCGAAGTGTATTTTGAAGACCTGAGATTGCAAAGGAATATGAGACTATGAAGAGAAAGAATGAGAAAATGGCAGAGAGCATGTTCTTAGGAAGTATAGCTTAAAGTGATGGGGGGGTGGAGAGGGGGGAGCCAAAGAAACAAAAAACACAAGTAGAATTAAGAAAAGACAACATTGGTAAAACCAGGTAAAGATTTTCTTTTCTTTCTTTTTTTTTTTTGTCGGTCATGGGGCTTGAACTCTGGGCCTGGGCGCTGTCCCTCAGCTCTTCAGCTCAAGGCAAGCACTCTACCACTTGAGCTACAGTGCCACTTCCGGTTTTCTGGTGGTTTATTGGAGATGGGAGTCTCATGGTCTCTCCTGCCCGGGCTGGCTTTGAACTGCGATCCTCAGATCTCAGCCTCCTGAGTAGCTAGGGTTACAGGCGTGAGCCACCAGTGCCCGGCCAGGTAAAGATTTTCATGAAGAAGGTTCAGATCTGTTCAGTTTAGAAGGGACTCTGTAATCTCGATGTGTGTGATAGGCAATTGTTCCTCAATATTTTGAGGAACTTCATAAAGATCTTCTCTAGGTTATTATATCTAATACAGTATAAATATAATTTTTGGTATTCTATATTGGCCAAGGAATGACAAGGAATAAAAAGTCCATATGTGTTCAGTAAGACATTTTCCTGAATGTTTTTTATTATTCATTGATTGGATCTCCATATAGAACCCTCTGATAGGAAGGCTGAATATATATATTATCCTCATAAAATATGATTCACTAACATTGTTTAGCATTGTTCTTTAAATGTCATAATTTCTCAGTCATTCAGGCTATCTTATGAAACCATGCGATCTTTAAGGATTAAGCTTTAGCAGGTTGTTATATGAATAACTGAGCTTCAAGTTAGCATCCTGCTAATGACTTGAAAGTAAACTCACTGGGAGTAAGTTATGTTTTGCTGGTCCTCTAGATTCAAACTCAAACCCAGGGCTTCATGTTTGAATGAGTACTCATTGAGCAGTAGCCTAGCCCTGTGAAGTTTCTTGATCTTATCTGCATGTATTTTCCCCTTTAGTTAAGGTTAGTTTTTTTTTTTTTTGGGTTCCGGTCGTGGGGCCTAAACTCAGGGCCTGGGCGCTGTCCCTCAGCTCTTCAGCTCAAGGCTAGCGCTCTACCACTTGAGCCACAGCGCCACTTCCGGCTTTTTCCTTTTTGCTTATGTGGTGCTGAGGAATCAAACCCAGGGCCTCAGGCATGCAAGGCAAGCGCTCTACCACTGAGCCACCTTCCCAGCCCAGCCCCTTTAGTTAACGTTAAAACCCCTAGCCAGCAATAATCAAAGGATTTCTCATTGCAAGGAAGAAAACAGGAGGGGTAGGAGGAGTGCATGTGTTTTTATCTTATATTTGAGCTGTTTGGGATATTAATTAGTTCAGAGTATTTGCAAATGGTACTGCTTTTACCACTTTAGTTGGTAGGTACCTTTAGAAAACAAAACAGGAGCCTAGAATAGGAAAGGAAATAGCTTACTAGAAGTGAGGGGGAAAAGGCACGCAGAAGAAGCCATCAAAACCTCTGAAGTTGTTTGGTTGAAAAGCAGGTTAGGAAGATCCAGCAGCATTTTGTGAGAAAGAAGCAGTTAGTAACAGTACTGCATTTCACCCAGGAAAGACAAAGTCCTGATAAAGGCCCTCTAGTGGATAGTATGACTGAAGAAAAATATGTCTTATTTCAGAGCATATTTTGGCTTGAAATTTTAGTTAGTTCAATTGTATGGAAACGATGTTTTTTAATTTTTAAAAATTAAGTAGTTGTCCAGAGGGGTTTTAATTCAGATTATGAGTCCAGTGCATTTTAATCAATGCCACCCCTTCCATTGTTCTCTCCCACCTTTCCCTATCTCACCCATACCCTCAAGTTATGTATTTATCAACTTAAAGATAACTTTGTGTATGTGTGTCCTAGTGCTAGACTTTGGGGTATAGGCACTCACTGTCCCTTAGCTTTTTTTGGGGGGGGGTCCTGTTGTTGGGTCTGAACTCTGGGCCTGGGCGCTGTCCCTCAGCTCTTGAGCCACAGTGCCACTTCCGGCTTTTTTCTTTTTGCTTATGTGGTGCTGAGGAATTGAACCCAGGGCCTCAGGCATGCAAGGCAAGCGTTCTACCACTGAGCCACTTTCCCAGCCCCCTCCCTTAGCTTTCTTATTCAAAGCTAGTTTCCTATCACTTGAGCCACAGCTCCACTTCCAGCTTTTTGGTGATTAATTAGAGATGAAAGTCTTATAGACTTTCCTGAAAGTCTGGGCTGGCTTTGAACCATAATCCTCAATTTTAGCCTCTTGAGTAGCTAGGATTATAGGCATGAGCAATCCTCACCTGATTAAGAATAACTTTTGAAGGCTGGGCACTTGTGGCTCATGCTTGTAATCCTAGCTACTCAGGAGGCTGAGATCTGAGGACCATGGTTCAAAGCCAGCCGGGGCAGGAAAGTCTGTGGGACTCTTTATCTCCCATTAACCACCAGAAAACTGGAAGTGGAAAACCAGAAGTGGCATTGTGGCTCAAGTAGTAGAGTGCTAGTCTTGAGTTGAATTGTTCAGGGACAGCGACCAGGCCCAGAGTTCAAGCCCAACAACCAACAACAACAAAAAGTGGAAACATGATCTGAGTTAGATTGGTAGTCCAGTGTCTTTGTAATCATATTGAGTTGGGCGACTGTGGGGTAAAGTTGATTAATTGTCTGGAACCATGACCTTCTCAATCTTTGCCTCCCAAGGATCAGGAATAACAAGGGGGCACCACTGCACTCACCTATTGGCTGTAAAGAGGTGATGTATATGCCCTGGCTGGCAGGCTCAAATCACGATATACCTGAGTTCAGCCTCCCAAATAGGTAGCATTACAGGCCTGAGCCACCCACCTGGTACCCATCTAAGCTTAGGAATTTAAGGTTAAATACAAGACTGAAGGTGTTTTTTGTTGTTGTTGTTTTTTAATTAAAACATCTAAGCCTCGTGCTGGTGGCTCACGCCTGTAATCCTAGCTACTCAGAAGGCTGAGATCTGAGGATCACAATCCAAAGCCAGCCTGGACTGGAAAGTCTGAGAGACTCTTATCTCCAGTTAAGCACCAGGAAACCAGAAGTGGCACTGTGGCTCAAGTGAGCCCTTGCCTTGAGCTGAAGAGCTCAGGGACAGCGCCCAAGCCCAGAGTTCAAGCCCCTCGAACGACAAAAAAATGAATAAAACATCTAGAATGGGGAAGTAGGTAACCTGGTAACTGCAACAGTATTTATTGTGTTTAATTATGTTTGCATCTTTTGTCTGAGGGTTGAGCAAAACAATTTTCTGAAGCTCCTATTTAAGTAAGGACAATATCAACAACATATTTTCCCTTCTCTTTTCTGTAGTTCTGTGTATCTGAATAATGTTGGCTAGAAAATATATTTGGAGAACTTCTTACTAAATTAATTTTCTTGTTTATATTACTTATATATCAGGGTGAATTTAGTGTATTTAAAACTAAAATGAGCTTGTTTAATTATTTTATTTCTGATTATTTGTAGGCGAAATCTAACAAAACTGTCCCTGATCTTCAGTCACATGCTGGCAGAACTAAAAGGCATTTTCCCAAGTGGACTCTTTCAAGGAGACACATTTCGGATCACTAAAGCAGATGCTGCAGAATTTTGGAGAAAAGCTTTTGGGGAAAAGTAAGTCTAAATGATCACTTACTTGAACATGAAAAATTAAAGCTTATAAGTTTTTTTTAGAGAGTCTTAATTCATGAGATAAGTAAAGACTTTGAGAAAAGTAAACATGCGTTTCCTACCTATGGTAAATACCAACTTCTTGCCCTTAATTTAAAGATTTAAGTTTTGTAAACTTAATTGAAGCTTGTGCTTTCTGATTGACTACTGTTCTTTTCTCTCCCCATCCAGTCTGCTATAAGAGACATTTACCTTTCAAATTATTCGTTATTGCAAAACAGTGCTTTGGTGAACAATATCTTAGGGGTTCTTTTGGTCATAGGGCTTGAACTCAGGGCCTGGGTGCTGTCCCTAAGCTCTTTTTGCTTAAGGCTAGCAAGCACCCTGTCACTTTGTGCCACAGCTTCACTTTTGGTTTTCTGGTGGTTGTTTGAAGATGAGAGTCTCGCAGACTTTCTTGCTGGACTAGCTTTGAACTATAAATCCTCACATCTCAGCCTCCTGAGTAGCTAGGATTACAGGTCATCAGTGCCCAGCTTCATATCTTAGTTTTAGTAAATAAAATTTCTCATTACATACCTAGGAGTGGTATTGCCTAGTTGCTCTCCAAAGAAGTTGTACCAGTGTATATTCCTATCCGTAGTATTAGAGTTCCAGGACTAATGGTACAGCCCGTGGCCTGGCATGTTCTAGGCACTCCATTTACTCCACAGCTCTGCAAAAAACAAGAAAATATCTAGCCAGGCACCAGTGGCTCATGCCTATAATTCTAGCTACTCAAGAGGCTTCGATCTGAAGATTTGCAATTTGAAGCCAGCTTGGGCAAGAAAGTCCAAGAGACTCTTATCTCTAATTTATAGCCAAAAAGCCCCAGAAGTAGAGCTGTGGCTCAAGTAGTAGAGCACTGTCCTTGAGCATAAAAGGCATGGGACCAGCACCCAGGCCCTGAGTTTCAAGTCCTAGTACCACTTTATATCTGAGGAGAGAGTAATTAGTAATGTAGTTGAGGCTTTAAGGGTGTGGCTCAGTGATAGCTGATAGAGCACATCCTTAGCTTGAGACTTTAGTAGGCTCAGTCCTTAACATTATTCCGCCCACCCTAACAGAAATCCTGGTTTTGGGGTTATGATTAGATTTAAGTTCGGGCTGGGAAGTTGGCTCAGTGGTAGAACGCTTGCCTTGCATGCCTGAGGCCCTGGGTTCGATTCCTCAGCACCACATAAGCAAAAAGAAAAAAGCTGGAAGTGGCACTGTGGCTCAAGTGGTAAAGCACTAGCCTTGAGCTGAAGAGCTGAGGGACAGTGCTCAGGCCCAGAGTTCAGGCCCTACGACCGGACCCAAAAAAAAAAAAAAGATTTAAGTTCAACTTTATTCCTTTAACTTGATAACAACATTAGAAAAGACTTCAGCTTAGGGACATGTCTTTAACAAGTTCGAGGCCAAAATTATGAGAAAGGAAAATTCTATAATATGTCTCGTTGGCCTTGTTCTTTTTGCTTGAAGAGTTTTTTTTCATCTGTCATTTCTCTCTTCTTCCAGGATCTTGAGTCTATTTCTTCCAGTCTAGCTTGCTAAAAAGAACATGGAATGTTTTACATGCTTAATTTAAAGCTGAATGTATAGGTAGTAAAGGTCTAGCCACAGATACCACATTTTTCATATAGTAAAAAGATAACCTCAACTCTTTCTGCTTCTCTAACAGAAATGTCTGAAGAAAGATGTGAAAGGGGATTAATTTATGATACTCTGCTAAAAAATAGTGGAACTTCTTTGTTATTCACTTGTTAGAAAGTTAAGAAATAATACTATTTAATCCCTTCTTGCTATTCTCAATCCAAATATATAATAGCTCCTGTAAGAGAACTGAAATATTGTGAGCTTAATCTGGCCTTTTTTCCCCTTTGGTTATGGCAGTGCCTAGAATGATCTGTTCTCTTACTTTGTGCCTTCTCTCTCATTCCACCCCCCCCAACCCCACCCTAGGACAATAGTCCCTTGGAAGAGCTTTCGCCAGGCTCTACATGAAGTACATCCCATCAGTTCTGGGCTGGAGGCCATGGCTCTGAAATCCACTATTGATCTGACCTGCAACGATTATATTTCAGTTTTTGAATTTGACATCTTTACGAGACTCTTTCAGGTAGGATACTAAAATCGAACTTCTGCTGATATTTGAAGAGGAAGATTTTATTTTTTTTAAAAAAAAGAGCACTTAGGATTTTGTCTATGACACAAGTATTTTAATTCATTTTAGAAATTATAAGTAAAAAAAGAATATGAAGAAATCTCTATTTTATATATTCATTTATTTAACATGGAAAAACCATTTTTAAAAGTCTATATGACCTGCTTTTACCCTTCCTATCTTTCTTTGTTATTGAGTATCCTTCTTTTGTATCTTTTTTTTCCCCTTTTTTTGACCTTCCTGGGGCTTGAACTCAAGTCCTAGGCACTGTCCCTTAGCTTCTTTGTGCTCAAGGCTAGCACTATACCACTTGAACCACAGTGCCACTTCCAGCTTTTTCTTTTTTTTTTTGGTCATGAGGCTTGAACTCTGGGCCTGGGTGCTGTCCCTGAGCTCTTCAGCTCAAGGCTAGTGCTCTGCTGCTAAAGCTATAGCACCACTTCCAGTTTTCTGGTGGTTAATAGGAGATAAGAGTCTCACGGATTTTGCTGCCTGGGCTGGCTTTGAATGTCGATCCTCAGATCTCAGCCTCCTGAGTAGCTAAGATTACAGGCATGAGCCATGAGCACCTGGCTCACTTCCAGCTTTTTCTTAGTGGTTTTATTGGAGATAAGAGTCTCACAGACTTCTGCCTTGGGTTGACTTGAATATGGTCCTCGGATCTCAGCACTTTGAGTAGCTAAGATTACAGGCGTAAGCCACTGATATGTGGCTCTTTTGCATCATTTTAATGGTTATACAATTACCATAAAATATATGCAATTTGTCCATTTTCTGTTATTGAATATTGATGTATGTTTATACTTTTTTCCTATTTTATTGAAGTGCTAGAGATTTCAAAATCTCATTTGGTTTGTCCTTTAGACATATTTTTTCCAATATATTTATGTTAATTTGCATAAATATTTATTTGGAACTTAATTGCACATGTAGACCTTATTCTGTTTTTCTGGTTTTCATTTGTCATTGTTTTAATTTTTTATTTTTTACAATATTCTTTTTTTATGATCAAATTTAGGTGTTTATTTGCATTCACATTTTTTTGAGGAGGGGGGTATCTGGTCATGGGGCCTGAATTCTGGGCCTGGGCGCTGTCCCTCAGTTCTTGAGCTCAAGGCTAGTGCTCTACCACTTGAATCACAGCCCCACTTCCGGCTTTTTTCTTTTTGCTTATGTGGTGCTGAGGAATCAAACCCAGGGCCTCACCCATGCAAGGCAAGCGTTCTACCACTGAGCCACCTTCCCAGCCCTGTCATTGTTTTTAGACTTACTACTGTTGGTTAGAGTTGTAGTCTGATTTATTGAATTTTAATGTAAAGTTTCTTCTTATAAAATACACATTTTTCTTGCCTGACCAGAATTTTTATATCTTAACCATCATTTTCTTGCCTTGAAGTGACAATATAATTGATACTGTGATAATAAATTGAGAACTTAAAATTGAAAATTGAAGCTTTTTTTTTTTTTTTTTGCTATCCATTGCTCTGAGGCTGCTTGAATGTCTTGGGGCAAATGGTCTGTGGTTGATCTTTTGTTTCTTTAGCCCTGGTCCTCTTTGCTCAGAAATTGGAACAGCCTCGCTGTAACTCACCCTGGCTACATGGCTTTTCTAACATATGATGAAGTGAAAGCCCGGCTTCAGAAATTCATACACAAACCTGGCAGGTTAGTATCAGCAAGCAAAATGCTCAGTTTTTTCTCTTGTGTCTTCTGCTAGAGTGTTTTTTCCCCCTCTTTTTTATTCCTTTCTTTCTGCTAGAGTTGTATTTATTTTCTAGTGGCCAAGATTTTGTAGTTTAGTTGTAGTATATTTTTGTTAGTATAGTTGATGTCTCTATCAGAAACATTGCTCACTGAAATCCTGAGATTTGATAAGTACTTTAAATTTTAGTCACTATAAAATAGAGCTTATAGCTGGGTTTACATATTGGCTCACACCTATAATCTTAGATATTCAAGAGCCTAAGACTTAGAGGATTTTAATTTGAAGCCAGCTGGGGCAGAAAAATCCACAGGACTCTTTTTCTCTAGTTAATCAGCAAAACTAGTAGCATGGCTCAAGTGATAGTACAATAGCCAGACAAGGAAGCTGAGAAGTGGGTTTTGAGCACAAAAAACAATCAAAATGAAATTTATGGACTAGGAATGTGTCTTAGTGGTAGAGTGCTTGCCTAGCATGCATGAAGCCCCAGGTTTGGTTCCTCAGTACCACAGAAACAGAAAAAGCAGGAAATGGTGCTGTGATTCAAGTGATAGACTGCTAGTCTTGCGCAAAAGAAGCTCAAGGACAGTGCCCACACCCTGAATTCAAGCCCCAGGACTGGCAAAAAATAAATATAAAAAGGTTTATGCTGGATGCAGCATTACATGCCTGTATAGTCCCAGCACTAGGGAGGCTGAGGCAAGAGGATATTTAAGATAAATGGGATGCTATCTTGGAAGAAAGAAAAGCTGGGCGCTGATGGCTCCTGCCTGTAATCTAGCTACTTAGGTAGCTGCGATGGGAGGATCACAGTTGAAAGCCAGCCTAGGCAGGAAAGCCTGTGAGACTCTTCTCTCTAATTAACCACCAGAAAACCAGAAGTGATGCTGTGGATCAAAGTGGTAAAGTGCTAGCTTAAGCAAAACAGCTCAGGGACAGTGCCCATGCCCAGAGTTCAAGGCCCAGGAGAGGAAGGGGAGGGGGGCGGGGGGAGAGATCCTTTGCTTCTGTTCTAGAGTCATTGGGGATGTTATCTGTCTGGGTGAATGAGGGATTGAGCCAGGCTGTAGTGTGTTGAACACTTACAATCTCCCCCTAAAGTCTTATCTCTCATCTTCAGCCTGTTGAAAATGTGACTCTTCTTTTTTTGTCTGTTGTGGGGCTTGAACTCAGGGCCTGGGCACTACCCCTGGGAGCTCTTTTGCCCAAAATTTTGAGCCACAGGTTTTTGAGAGGCTATTGGTGATAAGAGTCTGATGGGGACTTTCCTGCCCAGACTGGCTTTGAACTGTGATCCTCAGATCTCAGTCTCCTGAGTAGCTAGGATTACAGGTGTGAGTCTCCAGTGCCTGGCAAGAAGTGACTCTTGATGGTCCTATCAGTTTTTTGTCATTCTCACCTAATACCAACACATATTTTAAAACTTTTTTTAATCTCTGTTCTCAGTTACATCTTCCGGCTGAGCTGTACTCGTCTGGGTCAGTGGGCTATTGGATATGTCACTGCTGATGGGAACATTCTCCAGACAATTCCTCATAACAAACCTCTCTTCCAAGCACTGATTGATGGCTTCAGGGAAGGCTTGTGAGTACCACTGCCTATCATCTTCTGCAAGAATCTGGGGATTTAGAGACTCTAGCCACTTCATCATTATTCTATTTCTTATTCAGATTAAGATTCATTTTATTTTTTTGTCAGTCATGGGGCTTGAACTCTGGGCTTAGGCATTGTCCCTCAGCTCTTCAGCTCAAGGTGAGCGCTCTACCACTTGAGCTACCGTGCCACTTCGGGTTTTCTGAATGTTTATTGGAGATAAGAGTTTCATGGACTTTCCTGCCCGGGCTGGCTTTAAACCTCGATCCTCAGATCTCAGCCTCCTGAGTAACTAGGATTACAGGCGTGAGCCACTGGTGCCCAGCATCAGCTTTATTTTATAGAGATTTGGTAAGTGAATTTTCTCTGTTGCTTTAGTTACTGCCATGAGTACATTTTATCTTTCTCCTTTTCCAAATTATTAACTTCCTTTCAAGTTTGTATGAGGTTTGAAAATGTATAGTTACCAGGAAATATTACCAGGTATTAATCAATCTGATAGTGCTTAGATGTTCTTAATGACAGCAGGTTTCAGTGACCTTCATCTTAATTTCATTTAGGTTGAGTAGCTTTGCTGGGCTTTTGTCATAATATATGCAGATACTTTATTTCAGAATTGCTGTTCATGTGAGAATTCAAATTATCAGTCAGCAAGCAATGAAAATACGGAGTGAAGCCAGGTGCTGGTGGTTCACGCCTGTAAATCCTAGCTACTCAGGAGGCTGAGATCTGAGGATCAAGGTTCAGAGCCAAACGGGGTAGGAAAGTCCATGAGACTCTTATCTCCAATAAACCTCTAGAGAACTGGAAGTGGTGCTGTGGCTCAAGTGGTAGAGCTCTCCCCTTTGAGCTGAAGAGCTGAGAGAGGAAGGAAGAAAGGAAGGGAAAGAAAGAATAGAAAAGAAAGAAAATACGGGCTGATCAGAAAACTAGTTTGTGTTTTGAAATGATTAGGAAGATTATCTTTTGTTTTACATCCTCTTCTGTGGTTGGATGGTAGCTGAATGGGGTACTGCCTTAGCTGTCAGAGCAGTTAGATCTAGACACTCCTTGATTATTTAATGATTGTCTCAGTGGCTTCATTTGTTCTTGTCACAGTATCTTTAAGCTGGGAGCTGGTGGCTCATGTAATCCTAGCTACTTAGGATACTGAGATCTGAAGTTTGCCTTGGGAAGCCAGCCCAGGCAGAAAAGTCCCTGTGAGATCCTTATCTCCAATTAACCACTCAAAAATCGGAAGTGGAGCTGTGGCTTAAAGTGGTAGAGCACTAGCCTTGAGCAAAAGAGCTCAGGGACAAGCACCCAAGCCTAGAGTTAAAGCCCCACAATAGATGAAAAAAACAAAACAACAAACTTGTATTAGAATAATATTTTAGGTCTTTGGTTATATGCAGACTGTGGGATGATGTAGAGCATGCCTACAATCCCAGCATTCTGAAGGCTGAAGCTGAAGGATCTTAAGTTCAGGTTCAGGGTTAGCTGGGAGCCACTACCTAGCAAGACCCCCCCCCTTTTTTTTTTTGGTTGGTCATGGGGCTTAAACTCTAGGCCTGGCAGCTCAAGGCTAGCGCTCTACCACTTAAGCCACAGTGCCACTTCCGGCCTTTTCTGTTTATGTGGTGCTGAGGAATCAAACCCAGGGCCTCATGCTTGGGAGGCAAGCACTCTACTGTTGAGCCACCATCTAGTCCCTAGCAAGACCCTTTCTTAACAAAACGAAACAACAACAAAAAAAATCCATACCACCAAATTAAGTTTAAATTAAGAATTTGTACTTTATGATCATCTGTTTCATCCATTGATTTAATTAGGGATTACACCGCATGTTGGTGGCTCAGCCTGTAATCCTAGCTACTCAAGAGGCTGAATTTTGAGGATCACAGTTCAGATCCAGTCCAGGCAGGAAACTCTGTGAGACTCTTTATCTCCAATTAACTACCAGGAAATTGAAGTGGTGCTGTGGCTCCAAGTGGTAGGGTGTTAACCTTGAGTGAAATTTCAGGGACAGTGCACAGGCTCTGAGTTCAAGCCCTATGACTGACACCCCCCAAAATTTTTTTTTTAATTACAATAAATAAGGGGTTAGTAAACTATGGTCCATGGCCTTTCTGCAAGCCCAAGGTAGTTTCCCCAAGGTGGTTTTGCTTTGCTTTATATTTTTTAAATATGTTAGATATCATTTGTCTATATTAGTAAGCATTTATAAATTGATGTTAAAAGAATTCCAAGGTTGGTTACTCTTTTTGTAGCTATTTGTTTCCTGATGGAAGAAATCAGAATCCTGACCTGACAGGCTTATGCGAACCAACTCCCCAAGATCATATCAAAGTGACACAGGTGAATTTTGTCTTACATTATGGCCATATCACCAGAGCCAAACTTTTGAGTATACTTACAGAATTGACTATAGTTTCAGTGATTAGAACTGTCATTCTAAACCATTGCTTAGGTTAGTGAATTTCTTTGTGTGTGTGGATTTGTGGGGGGGAAGACAATCTTTTAAACTGTGTGACTTAAAATAAAGACAAGACTGGATACTTTCTCGTTTAATAAAGGTACAATGACCACAGCTATGATATTTTTATTTGAGTAAAATTTATATAGAAAATAGTCTTTAATTTTCTTATTAGCATTTACAGTTACTGTCATTGATTCATTCCTGTATTCAACAAACTATCTCTTTTTTTAAATCAAAGGAACAATATGAATTATACTGTGAGATGGGATCCACCTTCCAACTGTGTAAAATATGTGCTGAAAATGATAAGGATGTAAAAATTGAACCCTGTGGACACCTCATGTGCACATCCTGTCTCACATCCTGGCAGGTATGGGTCTAAACCATGTGTTTTCTCTGCTATATAATTTCACTGAAGAATTGGGTGTTGTATATTCTTTGTAGATACAAAGGTTGGTCTGGTTTAAAATCTTAGCTCCATCCCTACCTTCCTTATTTCTTCATTCTTGTCCTCTCTTTCTCTCCTCCTTCCTTTTCCTCCTTTTCTCTCTCATTCTTTTATTTTTTCCTTCCTTCTTTTCCTAGTCCCCCTTTCTTTCACTGAAGTTTGATCCCAAGACCTAGAACGTACTGAACACATACTCTCCCACTGAGCTTATATCTCTAGCCTGTTAATTCCATTTTTCTAAATATATTTTATTGTCATCTGTGTCCTCTACAGGAATCAGAAGGTCAGGGTTGTCCTTTCTGCCGATGTGAAATCAAAGGTACCGAGCCTATTGTGGTAGATCCGTTTGATCCTAGAGGAAGTGGCAGTCTACTGAGGCAAGGAGCAGAAGGAGCTCCCTCACCAAATTATGATGATGATGATGATGAACGAGCTGATGATTCTCTCTCCATGATGAAGGAATTGGCAGGTGCCAAGGTAAGACTGAATTTTGAACTCAGGGCCTAGGCGCTGTCCCTTTTTATGTACAAGGCTAGTGCTCTACCATTTGAGTAACTGCACCACTTCCACTTCTGAGTATATTGGAGATAAGAATCTCACAGACTTTCTTTCCTGGGCTGGCTTGGATCCTTGATCCTTAGATCTCAGCCTCCTGAATAAGCTAGGATTATAGGTGTGAGCCACCGGTGCCCTGTGACTGAAATGTTTTTAAGGGCTGGGAATGTAGTTCAGTAAAGTGGTTGACTAGGTTAGATGAAACTCTAGATCAGATCATCCACACTACAAAAAAAAAAAATTAACATATCCATAGGGGGAAAAATTGGATATCTACACCCAAAATTATTCACTATATTTCCAAAGAGAAATTCAGAAGACTGATTTTGTGGAATACTCCTATTCGAATTTTTTAGCTTCCTTTTTTTTGGTTGGTTGTGGGGCTTAAACTCTGGGCCTGGGCTCTGTCCCTCAGCTCTTCGCTCAAGGCTAGCGCTCTACCACTTGAGCCACAACCGCACTTCCAGCTTTTTCTGCCTATGTGGTGCTGAGGAATCGAACCCAAGGCCTCATGCATGTAAGGCAAGCACTCTACCACTGAGCCACCTTCCCAGCCCCCCCTTCAGCTTTCTTAAGTATTCAAATTTTTAATAATTAAGATCTTTCAAGATGCTTATTGCCTAAATAAATGTTCAGTGTAGAATGTTATATGAGATCAAATGTCTTAGGCAAGTCTCGGGAGCTGTTATTTGGGAAGAGAATGTAGATACAGGTGAAACACTATTCAGCACAAGGGATATAGATTAAATGCTATTTGAGATTGTTAGGTATGTACTGTTTAAATGCTGTAGTCATTTAGATGAAGGAAATTAGCACTTCCTCTAGATGAGTAGAAATTCAAAGAGAATAAACCAACTTTCTCTCTTTCCCCTCTCCTTCTCTATTCTTCCTCCCTACCCCTTTCTTTCTCTTTTTCTTTGTCAATCATGAGGCTTGAACTCAGGGCCTAAGCTTTTTCACTCAAGGCTAGTGCTCTACCACTTTCAGCCACAGCATCACTTCCAGGACTTCCTGCCCAAGCTGGCTTTGAATCTTGGATCCTCAGATCTCAGCCTCCTGAGTAGCTAGGATTACAGGTGTGAGCCACTGGCACCTGGCTAAAAACCATCTTTTATGAATACATAAATACCTAAGAGAGCCAGGCGCTGGTGGCTCACGCCTGTAATCCTAGCTACCCAGGAGGCTGAGCTCTGAGGATCTCAGTTCAAAGCCAACCCGCAGGAAAGTCTGAGACTCTTTTTTTTTTTTATTTGTGAAGATACTGTACAGAGGGGTTACAATTACATGGGCTGTGAGACTCTTATCTCCAATAAACCACTAGAAAAAAAACCGGAAGTGGCACTGTAGTTCAAGTGGTAGAGCACTGTCCTTGAGATGAAGAGCTGAGGGACAGCGCCCAGGCCCAGAGTTCAAGCCCCATGACTGACAAAAGAAAAAAAAAAAAACCTAAGAGAAGAACATAATTTGACCATCTCAAAATTTATTTAGTTTCTTCTTGAGGGATACATGGTTTCTAAACTTACACATATTGATGTGTTTTGCAGGGTACTCTGTTTTCAATTTTTGTTTTTGCTTGAACCCAGGGGCTTGAATACAGGACCTCCACTTCCTGCTTTTTCTGTGTATGTGGTACTGAGAAATTGAACCCAGGGCTTCATGTATTCTAGGCAAACATTCTGCTCCTAAGCCACATTCCCAGCCTTTTGTTTTTGATTTTTTGTTTAGGTCTTGGGTCTTGTCCTTAAGCATTTTTGCTCAAGGCTAGTGTTCTACTATTTGAACTACAGATCTACTTCCATCTTTTTTGGTAGTTAATTGATGATAAGAATCTCTGGAACTTTCCTGTATAGTCTGCCTTTGAACTAGGATCCTCAGATCTCAGTTGCTAGGATTGTAGACATGAGCATGTACAGTTCTTGATAGTTTAAGCTTATTTTAGTCGTTCCTTGCTTGTTTTATATAGGCAAATGGAAAAGGTTGCATACTTATGTACTGGTTGTCTCTTATAAAATGTTTTGAACTACAATCCTCAGATCTCAGCCTCCTGAGTAGCTAGGATTACAGGCGTGAGCCACCGGTACCCGTCTAGGATGTTTGTTTTTATTAAAATATATTATTTGTGTAGGGGAGAGCCAGGATGCTTTTCCTTTTTTTTGTTGGTCGTGGGGCTTGGGCACTGCCCCTTAGCTCTTCAGTTCAAGGCTAGCACTCTACCACTTGAGCCACAGCGTCACTTCTGGTTTTCTAGTGTTTTATTGGAGATAAAGAGTCTCACAGAGTTTCCTGCCACAGTGACTTTGAACCTCAGATCCTCAGATCTCAGCCTCCTGAGTAGCTAGGATTACAGGCTTGAGGCACTGGTACCCAGCTGCCAAGATGCTTTTATAGCTTTCCCGTTAGATAGGCATTTGCCTGCAGTTTGCCATCTGTGATAGAGTGCCCTCTTATGGTAACACAAAAATAGTTCATGACTCTGGAAGTTTCTGAGAGCGGTTTGCATAACCCTGAGTGACACTGAACCTGAGTTTGGCCTGTCGCCAATTGTTCCATGCATCGCGGGCATGGTATTTGCTGTCTACAGCTTTAAAAAGAATTGAAAATGCCAGTTTTTCTAGCAAACGAGTACCTTGTTACATTTAATTGATTCTAGGTAGAAAGGCCTCCCTCTCCATTCTCCATGGCCCCACAAGCTTCCCTTCCTCCGGTGCCACCACGACTTGACCTTCTTCAACAGCGAGTATCTGTTCCTCCAAGCTCATCTGCTCTGGGACCTTGTTCCAAGGTAAGGCAGTATGCATTTCTGTAGTTTTCTGATTGTTTTTTGTTGTTGCTTGCTCTAGTGGCATTTGCTTGATTTCTTCCATTTTGCTTTCATAGGCTGCTTCTGGCTCCCTTCATAAGGACAAACCGTTGCCAATACCTCCTACTCTTCGAGATCTTCCACCACCACCCCCTCCAGACCGGCCATATTCTGTTGGAGCAGAAGCCCGGCCTCAGAGACGCCCCCTACCCTGTACACCAGGCGATTGTCCATCTAGAGACAAACTGCCTCCTGTCCCCTCCAGCCGCCTTGGGGACTCTTGGCTGCCCCGGCCAATCCCCAAAGTACCAGTAGCTACTCCAAGCCCCAATGACCCCTGGTCTGCACGAGAACCAACCAATCGGCACTCCCTTCCATTTACACTGTCCTCACAAGTGGAGCCCAGAGCAGAGGCGCCAAGGCTTGGAAGCACATTCAGTCTGGATAACTCCATGGTGAGTTCCAGTTTTAAAGGTGATTTAGCCTAGCCAGGTGCCGGTGGCTCATGCCTGTAATCCTAGCTAATCAGGAGGCTGAGATCTGAGGACCGCAGTTTCAAGCCAGCTGGGGCAGGAAAGTCTGTGGGACTCTTATCTCCAATAAACCACTCAGAAAACTGGAAGTGGTGCTGTGGCTCAAGTGGTAAACCGCTAGCCTTGAGCTGAAGAGCTGAAGGACAGCGCACAGGCCCAGAGTTCAAGCCCCATGACTGACCCCCCCCCAAAAAAAAAAAGGTGATTTAGCTTAGTAAGTATTTGTGCACAGAATTTTCTGGGTCAGAGGTTTTTCCTTTTTTTTTTTTTTTTTTTGGTCCGGTCGTGGGCCTGAACTCTGGGCCTGGGCGCTGTCCCTCAGCTCTTCAGCTCAAGGCTAGTGCTCTACCACTTGAGCCACACGGCCACTTCCGGCTTTTTTTCTTTTTGCTTATGTGGTGCTGAGGAATCGAACCCAGGGCCTCATGCATGCAAGGCAAGCGCTCTACCACTGAGCCACCTTCCTAGCCCCAGGTCAGAGGTTTTTCTAGGGAATATTTAAGGGGACAAAATAAATCAAAATAAATTTTAGAGAAAGTAGATACCTTTTTTCAAGCTACTGCAGTCATGAGGGCTTTGTAGAAAGAGGCATCTGAATCTGCTGAAATATTCTTTGGAAAATACAGAAAGAGGGGAGGTTTGGGTTTGGGTTTTGTTTTGCTTTTTTTTTTTTTTTTTTAGGTCCAGTCATGGGGCCTGAACTTTGAGCATGGGCGCTGTCCCTCAGCTCTTCAGCTCAAGGCTAGCATGCTACCACTTGAGCCATAGCACCACTTCCGGCTTTTTTTTTTTCTGTGGTGCTGAGGAATCGAACCCAGGGCCTCATGCATGCAAGGCAAGCGCTCTACCACTGAGCCACCTTCTCAGCCCCTTTGCTTTGCTTTTTTCTGCCAGAAAAACACACAGTTATTACATGTCTAAGGCATGGGTTGGGAGTATTAAGAGTCTGACATAGTTTTAATGTAGATCAGAGCTACAGTGACAAGATGCTGTGACTTTGGAGATGATAAGCAGAGCAAAAAGGATATGAACACCTTCAGTACTCCTCCGGAGAGGTTGAGTTTATTCAGTAGAAAATGAGCAGCATGCCGGGCACAGGTGGCTCATGCCTGTAATCCTAGCTACTGAGGAGGCTGAGATCTGAGGATCATGGTTGAAAACCAGCCTGGGCAGGAAAGTCCGTGAGACTCTTATCTCCAGTTAACCACCAGAAAATTGGAAGTGGTGCTGTGGCTCAAGTGGTAGAGTGCTCACCTTGAGCTGAAGAGCTGAGGGATAGTGCCCAGGCCCAGAGTTCAAGCCCCCTGATCGACAAAAAAAAAAAAAGAAAAGACAATGAGCAGCATTTGGAAGTTTTACATTAGTGGAATGACGTGACCAAAATGAGGCATTAAAGAGATTAATCTGGTAGTATGTAGGTTTGGAAGGACAGTATATTGAAAAAATACAGGTTAATGGTCCTTTGTCTACACTTGTAGCAAGGGATCAGAATGGTTATTAGAAAGGAATATTATTTTGTTGGTTCATTTGAGTACTCAACAAAAAATTTTGCTTCTCACACTATATTCTGATGGAAGAAGATAGAAAATAAACAAGGAGAGTAAATATATTTGTTCATAGTGGTAAGTACAATGGAGTAAAACAGCTTAAAGAAGGGTATAGGGAGAGCTGGAGCTGAGGCAGGCAGTTCTGAAAGGGATGGAATACAATCTGAGCCAAGATCCTAAGCAGCTATGGATTGAGTGAGCTGTGTGAACAGTGAAAGGAGACCATTCCAAAATAAAGGAAAGAAGTAAATTTGGGAGAGGTTGGGTTGAAAAATTATAGAGGGATATAGTGCCAAGTAAGCAAGGGGGAGATTTGTTTCTCTGAGTAGAAATGGACAACTAGATTAGGTGGAGCCAGATAAGGCTCACAAACAGAAGATGAAAAAGATGAGAACAGATCTCATCCTACCCACACGCACTCATTTTGTAAACCTCACTTACTAGAGACATGTTGGATTTGAGATGGAAGAACTGACAGGTACAAAAGAGGAGAAGAAATCTAAGGAGGTTGAATGGAAAGATTTAGTTGAGGAATATGATGACACTCAGCTAAATATTTCTTGGTTGCACACTTAAGTGGCATCTGTAATTATGGAATTAGTAAAGGAGGTACTTAGCTGTGGCTTTATTAAAGAGGTTCTTTCAACACTTTCCATTCCAGAATATGAATAGTGGCCCATTAGCAGGCCCAGAATGTGAGCATCCCAAAATCAAACCATCTTCTTCTGCTAATGCTATTTATTCTCTGGCAGCTAGGTAAGTAAACTAAAACTGTATTTTATTCAGTGGAATTGGTACTTTTTGGGGGGTGGGTGTGAGGGGTAAGATAAGATCTCACTGTATAGTCCAGGCTGACTTTAAACTTGGGATCATCCTACCTCAGCCTCCCTTGAGTGCTGTGCTTATAAGCACACACCACCGCACGCACCCAGGTTAGTACTTCCAAGTCTGTTGATTTAGAGAACCCAAAAAAGTGTAGAGGAAAACAAAAACTTGTGTTTGTACTATGTAGAAATTATTATTTTATATATGTAGAAATATGTTATATCTTAGAGTATTTCCTTACATTCTCTATTCTTTTCTATTGAACATATAAATTGTAATTAAAGGCTATATCTGATAATACTACCTTTGTCTCTTCAACTTGGCAAGACAACCACAATATCTGTTGAGCACCTCTGTTGCTTGCTGCTGCCACATGCTTACTTTTCTTAGAATCTAGGCTCAAGCATAACAATTTACAGTTTAACAATAGCTCTAGGGAATTACGGAATTTAGGCCTACTTTTCTAGGATTTTTAGCCCCTCCCCCCCCCACATATTGGTGAGCTAAAAATCCTAGAGAAGTAGGTCTAAATTCCAGTTTCTCTCCTTGATTCACGGAGAATTATTTCAAATGCCAAGTTCAAAACTTCTTTTTTTGGGGGGTGGGATGGGGGGGTCCGGTTGTGGGCCTGAACTCTGGGCCTGGGCACTGTCCCTCAGCTCTTCAGCTCAAGGCTAGCACTCTTACCACTTGAGCCACAGCACCACTTCCGGCTTTTTTCTTTTTGCTTATGTGGTGCTGAGGAATCGAACCCAGGGCCTCATGCATGTAAGGCAAGCGCTCTACCACTGAGCCACCTTCCCGGCGCAACTTCAAAACTTCTAAGAGAGGGCTTACTTTAGTATATTCTTTTTTGGATTTAGGCTTTCAAGTCCTGCCTGTCTGGTTGCTTTCTGTCTCTTACATAGTATATATTGCCAGAATGGTGCGTGCGTGCGTGCGTGCGTGTGTGTGTGTGTGTGTGTGTGTGTGTGTGCGCGCGCGTGCGTATGTGCGTGCATGCGTGCATGCGCCAGAGTATGTGTGCTACCGTTTAAAGTCCAGACCTTAAGCTGGGAAGGTGGCTCAGTGGTAGAGTGCTTGCCTTGTATGCCTGAGGCCCTGGGTTCGATTCCTCAGCACCATATAAGCAAAAAGAAAAAAGCTGGAAGTGGCGCTGTGGCTCAAGTGGCAGAGCACTAGCCTTGAGCTGAAGAGCTGAGGGACAGTGCCCAGGCCCAGAGTTCAGGTCCCACGACCGGACCCCCCCCCCAAAAAAAAATAAATAATAAAGTCCAGACCTCAAGCTCTTTCTCAGCCTTTTTACTGACAGCTGATGCTCTGTCACTTGAATTGTATTTCTCCACTTCTGTTTTTTTTTTTTTTTTGGGGGGGGGAGTGGTGATTAATTGGGTATAAGAATCTTGCCAAGTCAGGCACCAGTGGCTCATGCCTATTATCCTAGCTACTCAGGAGGCTGAGATCTGAGTGTCACAGTTCAAAGCCAGCCCAGGCAGGAAAGTTGTGAGACTCTTATCTCCAGTTAATCACCAGAAAAACCAGAAGTGGCCCTGTGGCTCAAGTAGTAGAGTGCTCACCTTGAGCTGAAGAGCTCAGGGACAGCACCCAGGCCCATAGTTCAAGCCTCATGACCGACCAAAAAAAAAAAAAGCAACCTGCTTTTTTTTGTTTTATACCTTGTGAAAGAAGAAGTTGAGTGCTAGCACTAGAACTGGGATAGTATAATGAAGCTTACTGGAGGTTGGGACTAACTAGAACCAGGGACCCACCCATATATAACACATCTCAAGCACAGTAGCCACACTTTTGGTCAGATGAAAGCAGAATTTGTGGTTGTATGCTTCTTCCTAAATCCTAATTTCTTATATAGGTGACATATGCTTTTGTTCTCTCACTTTTTTTTTTTTTTTGGTCCGGTTCTGGGGCCTGAACTCTGGGGTCTGGGCGCTGTCCCTCAGCTCTTCAGCTCAAGGCTAGTGCCCTACCACTTAAGCCACAGCACCACTTCTGGCTTTTTCTTTTTGCTTATGTGGTGCTGAGGAATCGAACCCAGGGCCTCAGGCATGCAAGGCAAGTGCTCTACCACTGAGCTACCTTCCCAGCCCTAAAGATTGAAGTTTGAAGCCAACCCAGGCAGGAAAAATCTGTGAGACTCTTAACCTCCAATTCATCGCCAGAAAACCCAGAGTGGAGCTATAGTTCCAATGGTTATAGTGCTACCCTTAAGCACAAAAACTCATGGACAGCACTCAGTTCAAGTCCCAGGATCGCCACAAAGAAAACAAAAAGAGGGCTTTGGAAGCATGACTTAATAAAATCATCTGCCTAGCAAATGTGAACCCTGGAGTTCAAACCCTAGTACCACCAAAGTGTGGGGGAAGGTAGTAAAGGAAGAAAAATAATCATTGACATACCATAGGAATTAGCTTGTAAATTTGTCTGACAGAGCTTGACTTAAGGAGAAAATTATTTTTAGTACTCTTTGGCAACATCTTTGATTCATAGGCACACAGCTAGTTCCCTTTGTGCTTTCCCATCTTTCCAGGACCTAGAGACACTCTGTTATATGGCCTGGACCTAATATGCTGGCAGCTCCCTTTTATTCCCATTGCGTTGATGAAATTCTTTTGTATGTGGGTGGTAAACACTCAATTCCCATGTTAACTAGCTCACTGAGTTGAAAGTTCAAGAAGTCTTCACACAGACGGGCACTGGTGGTTGATAATCCTAGCTACTCAGGAGGCTGAGATCTGAGGATTGAGGTTCAAAGTCAGCCCTGGCAAGGAAAGTCCGTGAGACTCTTTTTTGTTGTGGGACCTGAACTCTGGGCCTGGGCGCTCTCCCTCAGCTCTTCAGCTCAAGGCTAGCACTCTACCACTTGAGCCACGGCACCACTTCTAGCTTTTTTCTTTTTGCTTATGTGGTGCTGAGGAATTGAACGCAGGGCCTCATGCATGCAAGGCAAGCACTCTACCACTGAGCCACCTTCCCAGCCTCCCTCCCCCCCCTCCCCGTGAGACTTTTATCTCCAATAAACCACTAGAAAACCGGAAGTGTCGCTGTGGCTCAAGCGGTAGAGCGCTAGCCTTGAGCTGAAGAGCTGAGGGAGAGCGCCCAGGCCCAGAGTTCAGGCCCCACAACCGACAAAAATAAAATAAATTAATGATATTATATGTATGCATGCATGAATGAATGGTGCCCTAGGTTGAAATGTGCTAGGGGTAGGAGAAGAAGGTAACTTTGTCAACTTTTTTTCCAGGTGAAGGGAATTTGGCTGCAGCCCACACCAACACTGGCCCTGAAGAGCCAGAAAATGAGGATGATGGGTATGATGTCCCGAAGCCCCCTGTACCTGCTGTGCTGGCCCGCCGAACGCTCTCAGACATCTCTAATGCCAGCTCCTCCTTCGGCTGGTTATCTCTGGATGGTGATCCCGCTACAAGTGAGTCTCCAAGCTGCTTTTTGTCTGGTGCTGTTGTCCGGCTCCTGGTTTATTATGTTGGAACACATAGCCAGCTGCAGTGGCAGTCAGTAGGAGGAAGCAGTAGACGATATGCTAGATTGTGTATTTAAATAGGTGGAAAGTGGTCCAACGTCCCAATTTTTTTTTTTTTTTGTCAGTTGTGGGGCTTGGACTCTGGGTCTGGGCACTGTCCCTCAGCTCTTCAGCTCAATATGAGCGCTCTACCACTTGAGCTACAACACCACTTCCAGTTTTCTAGTGGTTTATTGGAGATAGGAGTCTCACGGTCTTTCCTGCCCGGGCTGGCTTTGAACCGAGATCCTCAGATCTCAGCCTCCTGAGTAGCTAGGATTACAGGCGTGAGCCACCGGTGCCCAGCTAAAGATCCCAAATTTAAAAACCAGACTATAATAAAATTCTTGAAGTTTTGCCAAACTTAGAAATGGTCTTTGAACCATGGATCCTCCTATGTGGAGGAAAGGTAGAGTTTCTAGCTCTTTCAGATTGCCTTGTGACAGTAAGAATTAAGTTTGATGGTTCAGAATCATGTTCTTTTTTTCTGGGCCTCATCCCACTGGAAAGGAAGTGCACTGTCCTGGAATGTGCATAGAATGAATGGGCCTGGAGCCATCCCACATTGGGCCTTGACTTTGGGGGCTGTTCTTCCTGCACCTGTCACCTGCCTGCCTGGTAGAACAGCAACCAGAGTTGCTGTCGCTTTGGAAATTGAAGACAACTTTTAGGACAGCTGGTAGAAAGGATGTACAGCATCTACTTTCTCAGACAGGCAGTGATCCCCACCAACCTGAATTAATCCTTCTTCAGTGCAGCTTAGGTTTATTTTTGTCTCCTTATTTGGCAGTTCTGGGGTTTGAAGTCAGGCTTACTAAGCATACACTCTACCACTTGAGCCACTCCACTGGTTTGTCTCCTTATTTGTAGAAGGAGGAGTATATTACCTCACTTGTCCACTCAGAATTTGTGTGTGTGTGTGTGTTGCTCATGGGGCTTGAACTCTGGGCCTGAGTACTGCCCTACAGCTCTTTAGCTCAAGGCTAGTGCTCTATCACTGGAGCCACAGCACCAATTCCAGTTTTCTGAATGGTTTATTGGAAGTAACAGTCTCACACACTTTCATGCCTGGGCTGGCTTTGAACCATGATCCTCAGATCTCAGCCTCCTGAGTAGCTAGGATTACAGGCATGAGCCACCAGCGCCAGCCCCTGAGCTTCTTTTGCCTAAGGCTAGCACTCTACCTCTTGAGCCACAGCACTACTTCTGGCTTTTTCTGTTTATGTGGTTGTGGTACTGAGGAATGGAACCCAGTGCTTCATGCATGCTAGGCAAGCACTCTACCACTAAGCCACATTCCCAGTCCTACTCAGAATTTTAAAAGAAATCCAAATGATTATTTGTGTGAAAACTTGTTGCTAAGTGAAAAGCATAACATGGATGCTTATCATAGTAACAGTGAGTTGTTAATGAAACAGGTGTATGGGGTATTTAGAAGGTGGTTTCTAAATAAGGAAACTAGATCCCCAAACTCTTGACCCTCTAAAACCTACCTTTCAAGCTGGTAATTTAGGTCAGTTGTAGAGGCTCTGGGTTCCATCCTAGCACAGCAAGTAAATAAAGTTAAGTTTCTTAAGCCTTTTGTGATGTAGGAGCACAAGCCCACAACTGACAGAAATTCAATAATAGCTTGATGTTAGCACACTGTTCTTATTACTGTTACTTCTATTAAATGAGCATTTTTCCCAGACTTGCAATTTTTTTCCCCTGTTTTTTCTAGACTTCTCTGAGGGTTCCCAAGTTCCTGAGAGGCCCCCCAAACCATTCCCTCGGCGAATCAACTCTGAACGAAAAGCAAGCAGCTGTCAACAAGGCGGTGGTGCCACTGCTGCCCCTGGCACTGCCCCCTCACCACAGCTCTCCAGTGAGATTGAGAGCCTCATGAGTCAGGGCTACTCCTACCAGGACATTCAGAAAGCTTTGGTCATTGCCCACAACAACATTGAAATGGCCAAAAACATCCTCCGAGAGTTTGTTTCTATTTCATCTCCTGCTCATATAGCCACCTAGCACATCTCTCCCTGCCGTGGCTTCAGCGGACCCATAAGCCAGGCTCAAGGAGCACCAAGGAGGGCAGAGGTTTCGTTGGGGACTTAGGTGAGGTCCTGCCCTCTCTACAGGGATCATGAGGTGCCCATGGTTCCAAGATTTCAAAGCAGTGGAGTGAAAATGGAGCAGCTAGTCTTCTCTTGTATCGGTCTTGAGTGTATTTGCAGGTGCCCTTCAGTTCCCACTTGGAGAGAGAATGGAGTGGATTTTTATTACATGGTAGCCTACCTGGGGAGCTGGCCCCAAGCAGCAGAACAAGCGTTGTTTTCTAAACCCTCATTGAGAACTTGAGGCTCTCCTGGGTTAGAGATGTGACTGTGTGTATGTGTGTGTCTATGTCTGTGATTGTGTGCGTCCTGTAATTATAAGATGATCCTGCTGTGTGTGCTAATCCCAGATGGGGAATAGCACAAAAGGTTCAGGAAGGAATCTTTAAAAGACTTCCATCTACTGTGGTATTGCACCTCATCTAGTGTGTATTACAGCTTCAACACTCCCCTTTGGCTTAGACTATTATGTGCATAGCTGAAGTCTTTTATGTTAAGAACACCTTCCTTTTCTGTTCTTTCCCTTATGAATTTCCCCCTCCTTCCTCCTCCTGGGCATTCTGTCATTGGCAGTGGGCTTGCTGTCTTGCTGTGACCAGTCTTAACTAAAGTCAAGCAGCTTCTAAGATACTCTTTATGCTGTGTGATATTGTTAGTTTGTTGTAAAGCTAGGTGGAAGGGAAAGTGCTGTTGCTCTGTGGTTAGTCATGGTTGGTGCTAGCTAGCAGCTAACACTGTGGTTAGTCATGGTTGGTGCTAGCTAGCAGCTAACACTGGTCATTCCAAAGTATAGTTATATAGGAACACTGAATTTGTTAAAAAAAAAAATGTTTGAATTATCCTAATACATAATGACCAATTTGAGATCGAGGCCTTCAAATACATTCCGTGTCCTCCCTAGGGTATTGTCTGGGGACATTGTTGCCTTGGTGTCAGGTATGTGTTTTGGTGCAGGTCATGAGTCTTTCTACTTAATGGGAAGGGAAGAACATTAATTCCAGGGTGACTTTTGGCCGAGTACCTTGAAGCTTTTAGGAAGTTTCATTCACATGCTGTTTTGCTGCACAAAATAGACAATAAGGATTTATCTGTTGGCTTTTTTTTTTTTTGGGGGGGGGGGTCCAGTCGTTGGGCCTGAACTCTGGGCCTGGGCGCTGTCCCTCAGCTCTTCAGCTCAAGGCTAGCATTCTACCATTTGAGCCACAGTGCCACTTCCGGCTTTTTTTTTCTGCTTATTTGAACCCAGGGCCTCAGGCATGCAAGGCAAGCGCTCTACCACTGAGCCACCTTCCCAGCCCCTATCTGTTGACTTTTTATTCCCAGTAAATCAATTTCAGTTCATATGGTATCTTTTTTTTTTTTTTCTCGGTTGTGGCGCTTGAACTCTGGGCTTGGGCGCTATCCCTCAGCTCTTCAACTCAAGGCAAGTGCTCTACTGCTTGAGCCACAGTGCCACTTCCAGTTTTCTGGTGGTTGATTGGAGATAAGAGTCTCACAGACTTTCCAGGCTGGCTTTGAACCGCAATCCTCAGATCTCAGCCTCCTGAGTAGCTAGGATTACAGGCATGAGCCACCAATGCCCGGCTTATATGGTATCTTTTGAACATGAGCCAGGGTAGAGTTTCAGTAATGATTTTTCTTTGCCCATAAGGAATAGGGCACCACCCATGGTAATAATGTTTTGCTAATAATTAGCACCTTTCCTATACATCGGTGGTGTTCATGGATTTGGTTCTGTTGTGCCTAGGGCTTTGTCTGTTTCTTCCTTTCCTTGGTCTTTTCTTAGGTCTTATATATAATTACTATCTTCACAATAATTAGGTACTACTCATTGAAGTTAATCAAAGACAATAAGGAGAACTGTGGCAGTTAGTGTAATTGGGAGTTCATAAAGAAGATTCAGAGTCCAGTTTGGAGACCCACTTGTCAATTCCTGTTGCAACTACTGAGTGGCCCATTGGGTTCAGCTAGGTCTCTGTTAGGATCTCCTGACTTCCTTAGCAACATGTACCCCTTTCCTTGTCAGAAGCGAGCTAGCTTTCCCATAAATCTGCCTTGCTCGGGACCTAAGTAATATTATTGTCTTTGGTTTCAGACAGAAATGATGTTCCTTAAGTTAGTTTTTTCCCATTCAGACATCTCTAGAACTAAAAGCTTTTCTAATTCTTTCCCGTGGCATCTGGCTACTCCAGGATCTTTTATTTTATCCTCTTGCCTGAGCTATTTATACCCCCAGAACAGATAATAGAGGCCCTCCTGTTGATGTTCCATGGTTACCCAGTGTCTCTTCTCATGGCTGGAAACAGCATAACAGTACAGCAGGTGCCAGAGGTCCTGTGTTTGGGGTAAAGGGAGCCTGAGAGAGTGGTTAGAGAAACAGTAGTCTACTTCAACATGCTGGTAACATTGAGTTTTTGTATTTTATTTAAACATTGAAGGCTGGCCTGGACAAAGAACTAGAAAAAAAAATGGCCGCAGTTTCCAGGCCTATCCATATTGTAGTTTTTCTTTCTTGGCAGAAATTGCCCATCGTGTGAAGATCTATGGGCTGGGAAGGTGGCTCAGTGGTAGAGCGCTTGCCTTGCATGCATGAGGCCCTGGATTTGATTCCTAAGCACCACATAAGCAGAAAAAGCTACAAGTGGTGCTGTGGCTCAAGTGGTAAAGCACTAGCCTTGAGCTGAAGAGCTGAGAGACAGTGCCCAGGCCCAAATAAGATCTAAGAAAAAACACTGGGTGCATTTTTTTTTTTTTTGCCTTTTCAGTGTACCCACGTCTTCCGTGGAGACGTGTTCATACCATCTAGACTCGGGCATCTCATCCTTTCCTTTCCTGAGCTCCCATATAACAGCTTGAGTTAGTTCTGCTTTGGTGTTTAGTTTGTCAGATGTGGGTCACAGGCATTCAAACTTTGGCCATTATGTGAGGACCTTTCCTGGGACAGTGCCCACCTGTGTCCTGACACTGCCAGGAACCTTTGGAAAGGTTTTGTGCAGCTCTCATCTTGAGGATAGTCCCAGAACTTGGGTATCTTCTGTTTTCTTTTGAGGCATCATTAATTCATTCTTCATCTTCCATTTGTATAGCAATATTTAAGGCTCTTCTGAGTTTTAAAATTGCCCTTTCATGACCAGGCTTTACTTTTGAGTTTTCACATTTTGATAAGCCCTTTCTTATTCCTTCTCCTAAATACAAATAGTTGGTATAGTCAAGAAAACCACTTTAACATCTTCCTTTTTTCTCTTACTTCATTAGGCTATTCTATTTTCCTACTTTTATCATATCTGCCTGCCTCATTAATAGGTCACTGTCCTGCAGCTTCCAGGACTGGACGTGCATTGTTGGTGGTGGTGGTGGGTGATGGTGGTCATGGGGCTTGATCTCAGGGCCTGAGGGCTGTCCCTGAGCTCTTCTGCTCAAGGCTGGTACTCTCATTTTGAGCTACAGCACCACTTCTGGTTTTCTGGTGGTTAATTGGAGATAAGAGTCTTAAAGACTTTGCTGCCCAGGCTGGCTTTGAACCACAATCCTTAGATCCTTAGATCTCAACCTCCTGAATAGGATTACAAGCTACCAGCACCCAGCTTTTTTTTTTTTTTTTTTTGGTCAGTCATAGGGCTTGAACTCTGGCCTGGGCACTGTCCCTGAGCCCAAGCTTTCTTTCTTTTTTTTTTTAATCTTTTTTTGGTGCTGGTACTAGAATTGAACTCACAGCTTAGCACTCTTGCATTTTCTGCTCGTGGCTGACCTGACCATGGGGGGGGAAAGTCTGCTTATCCCATTTACTTTCTGCCAAAGTTTTTTTTTTTTTTAAAGGTTCTTAAAGTGGTAACAAGTAAATAAATCACCTTGTGGTCTCTATTATATATACCTCCTTTTAAATTAACTAATAGATCAGGCCGCTTATCATCTCAGCCTTTGTCTGTTACTGTTTATTTAACCAGTGATTTCTGCCTGTGGCTGGCCATTCTCCACGCACCAGCCCTCTCCTTCCCTAAGCCCACCGTGCATGCTCTGCCATTCTTCTGTTCTTCTGCCATGCTTCTCTTCTCACCAGACTTATCACCAGGAGCTCTGATGTATCATATAGTACTGTTAGTAGCATACATTTGCTAGTAGTTTTTGAAAAATGAGGAGGTCACTATTCTTCATACTTAAAATACTTATTTCCTTTCTAGGAAAATAAAATGTTTTATGGTCCAAACTAGGTTTTGTATCATATGTTGGTTGCACGCTAGGAATTAGCTTGACTATTCTCTTAAGCTACCATTAATGTCTTTTGTAGGCCATCAGCAGTGGTATTACTGCAGAATATTCTCCTACCTCACATAATAAAAGTCAGGTGGTAATTACCTTCAAATTAACGTGGTATTGGCCTTTTTTTTTTTTTTTATGTCAGTCCTGGGGCTTGAACTCAGGGCCTGAGTCCTGTCCCTGAGCTTTTTTGTTCAAGAGTAGTGCTCCACTACTTGAGCCACAACTCCATTTGGGCTTTTTTTTTTTCCCCCAATACTTTATTGGAGATAAGAGTCTCATAGACTTTCCTGCCCAAGCTGGCTTCAAACTGTGATCCTCTGACCTCAGCCAACTGAGTAGCAAGGATTGTAGGTGTGAGCCACTGGCGCTTAGCCTCTCTAACTCTGCAAAGACCACTATTCACCTGAACAACAGTATTTGGACCATTGGCCTAACTACAGCAGTTTGGTTGTTCATTCAGCAAATAAGTGTTTGAATGATTATTGTCTGCCAGAACCATTAACAACTGATAATGGATTGTGTCTGAGTTATCTAACACTTAGATTGGCCCCTAAAATAGCTCTTCCCAATACAGTTGTGCAATTTTTATTCACAACTCTTTTATATTAAGGGCTGGGAAGGTGGCTCAGTGGTAGAGGGCTTGCCTTGCATGCCTGAGGCCCTGGGTTCGATTCCTCAGCACCACATAAGCAAAAAGGAAAAAAAAAGGCGGAAGTGGCGCTGTGGCTCAGGTGGTAGAGCTCTAGCCTTAAGCTGAAGAGCTGAGGGATAGTGCCCAGGCCCAGAGTTCAGGCCCCATGAACGGACCCAAAAACAACTCTTTTATGTAGACTTACCTTATAAAGTTATCCTGACTAAAAATGGGTTCCAGGTTTTCCTATTAACCCTGTTGTCATATTACAGCTTTGATAATATTTTTGTTACATACGTCAATAGCATCTGCTTGGCGTTGAACATTAGGGCATTAAATGTT